CGATGTCTGTCCTCCAGGTGCTCCAGAGCGACATCTTGTGCGAAATGGCGAGCAGCGGGAGGCAACCGCCTGTCCTTTCGGATCTGAGAAGCGCTACGGATCTTTCCCTTCGCGCCACTAAAGCCGCCGCACAAGCTCTGGGGAGATGCATGGCCGCCCTCTGTGTCGCCGAGAGACACTTATGGCTCACGCTTACCGACATGGGAGAGTCAGAACGCGCCGCGTTCCTCAACGCGCCTATTTCTCCTACCGGGCTCTTCGGATCTGCCGTCACGGGCATCGTTGACCGCTTCTCCGAGGTACAAAAAGCGACTCAGGCCATGAACTTGTTCCTGCCCCGCCGCTCGAGCTCTTCGACGGGCCGCTCTCACGAGCCGCCTGCCAGGACCCCACAGCAGCGCCCGCCTCAGCAAGCTCAGCAGCCCCAGCGTAGACAGGGCGGCCGCCCTCGCTCTCGCTCAGACAGCCGCCGCAGACAGCCTCCTCCCCGGGGGCCTCGACCCAAGATCGTGCTGAAGCCCGATCAACAGAAGTCTGCCTAGCACAGCTGAGAAAAAGACGGCTTTCTCCCGCTGCGGCCGGACCACCGTCAAAGCTTCGCCCACTGTTAGTCCCCGTCTCACCGCTGACTGCAGTAGTGTTTACCGCCACAAACAAGCCGGTCTCCCTGCCCGCTTGCGAGCGACTAAAAGCCGTTTTCACGGCTACCCAGAGAGTTCACAAAAAGAGCATAAAAGCCTCAAGTGTAAAAAATGTGCCCACAACCATGTGCTCACGTACACACACAAGCACTTTATGCCCAGGGTCTCTCACAGAGCCCATTCTCACGGAGCGTGCACTATCCGCTCCAGTAGCAGAGAACATAAGCACGCCCACGAGCCCGTGCGCGTGTCCCCCCTCTGCCCGCTCTGTCTCACGGCCCATAAACTCCTCTCTGAGTGTAAGTCCCGTTGCCTTCCACATTATAAGCGTGCCCACACCCAGTGTCCAGCCCGCTATGTGCAGCAATCAGGGCGAAATCGCCATTCAACCGCTAGCCGCATGCTACGAAGCGTGGGAAGCCATCCCCGGCATCTCCCCGTGGGTTTTAAGCATAATAAAGAATGGGTATCGATTACAGTTTCGTCGCCGCCCGCCACGCTCGCGCGTGCGGCTCGAATCCACTGTCAGCCCGGCTGCTATGAACACGCTTCGCTTAGAAATAGCCAAGCTACTGCAGAAGGGCGCTATAGAGAGAGTCCCGCCATCTATGACCGAGTCGGGGTTTTACGGCCGTTATTTTCTGGTTCCCAAGAAAGACGGCGGCCTCAGGCCGATCTTAGATCTCAGGGCTTTGAACAAAGCGCTCATGAAGAGACCGTTCAAAATGCTCACAGTCAGGAAACTCCTCGCGCACGTCCGCCAGGGGGACTGGTTCATCTCTCTAGACCTGAAAGACGCCTATTTTCAGATCCAGATAAACCCTCATCACAGGCCATTCCTATGTTTCGCCTTCGAGGGCCAAGTTTACCAGTATGCCGTTCTCCCGTTCGGCCTATCCTTAGCACCCCGTACGTTCACGAAGTGCATGGATACAGCGCTCGCCCCCCTGCGAAGTCAGGGGCTGCGCATACTGAATTATCTGGACGACTGGCTGATTCTAGCAGATTCCCAGACGGAGCTGCTGTCGCACCGCACAGTTCTCCTCAACCATCTGGAAGCGCTGGGACTCTCTGTCAACTGGACAAAGAGCTCTCTCCAGCCCAGTCAAACTATTTCGTTCCTTGGAATAGATTTGAACTCTATCACTATGACGGCTCGCTTATCCACACAGCGCGCGCGCCGTGTTCAGCGCCTAGCCGCCTCGTTTCAGATGGGTACCCATACATCCCTGAAATCGCTTCAGAGGATGCTGGGTCATATGGCTTCAGCCTCCGCTGTGCTACAGCTGGGTCTTCTGCACATGCGCCCCCTTCAACTCTGGTTAAAGAGCCGCGTATCCCACCACAAGTGGACGACGGGCCGCCAGATGATCAGGATTACTCAGACATGTATCACTGCACTGCAGCCATGGGCAGTAAGCGAGTGGTTTCTGAGGGGCGTTACCATGGGAACCTTTTCTCGCCGGAAAGTTATCTCGACAGACGCATCCAACTCGGGTTGGGGAGCGGTTTGCGAGGGCTCACCGGCCGCCGGCCAGTGGTCGAGCCACGAGAGTTCCCTACACATAAACTGTCTGGAAATGATCGCGGTCGAGAACGCGCTGCTGTGTTTTCCTCCCGCGCATAAACGGTCACCACGTCCTGATTCGCTCCGACAATATGGCCGTGGTATCATACATCGACCGTCAGGGCGGCGTCAGATCCAAGAATCTCTTTCATCTGACACGCCGCATCCTATTGTGGTCCCAGAGTCACCTGCTCTCGCTCAGAGTGACGCACGTGCCGGGCCATCTGAACGACGGTCCAGACAGGCTGTCCAGGAACCTGGTCTCCCCCGGAGAATGGTCCCTGCACTCTCAAACAGTCCATACGCTGTGGCGCCTATTCGGCAGAGCGGAGATAGATCTTTTCGCGTCAGAAGAGAACGCTCACTGCCCAATATTCTTTTCAAAGAGCGAAGACGCGCTAGCCCAGGATTGGCCCCGCCGCCCGCTCTATGCTTTTCCCCCGATTTCTCTGCTACCGCAGGTCATTCAGAGAATCAGGGACTCACGCCACTCGGTGCTCCTCATAGCCCCGCGCTGGGAGAATCAGATTTGGTTCCCGGAGCTAACGCGGCTGTCACAGACAGCCCCGTGGCCCATTCCAATCAGAGCAGATCTCCTCACTCAAGCCCGCGGCTCGATCTGGCATCCCCATCCACAGCGCTGGGCGCTTCATGCATGGGTGACCAACGACTACGCGTCGAATTGCCAGAAGGGGTTTTGAACACGATCAAACACGCCAGAGCGGATTCTACCAGAAAGCTCTATGCCGCAAAATGGTCTGTGTTCTCCAAATGGTGCACCGACAAGAATTTGGACCCACGGACGTGCGAGGTTTCGTCTTTGCTAGTGTTCCTTCAGGAGATGCTGGATAAGGGCAGGTCCCCATCCACTCTTAAGGTTTACGTGGCAGCCGTCGCGGCGTTCGTTGAACCCCGGCGCGCCCAGTCTCTGGGCAAAGACGAGCTAATCATCCGCTTCCTCAGGGGAGCCAGAAGGATGAACCCCCTCGCCCCCCTACGGTGCCGGTCTGGGATCTTTCTATAGTTCTAGAAGCTCTGAAAGCCCCACCGTTTGAACCACTTGAGTCCGTGGAGCTAAAATACCTCTCGTTAAAAACCGTTCTTCTGACGGCTCTCGCCTCAGTAAAACGTGTGGGGGACATTCACGCGCTGTCTTCGAGCGCCGCGTGCCTAGAGTTTGGACCGAGTGACTCCATAGTCATTCTAAAGCCTAGACACGGTTATGTTCCAAAAGCGATTGGTACCCCTTTCAGGGCGCAAGTGATCTCTCTATCGGCGCTGCCTGCATCCGATAGCGAACGTGACGCTGACCGCCTCTGCCCGGTTCGGGCTATCAGAGTGTACACTACACGCGTTGCCGCGTTCAGACGCTCGGAGCAGCTGTTTGTGTCGTTCGGTGGCCGCACCAAGGGACTAGCCGCCTCGAAACAGACCCTATCCAGGTGGATAGTAGACGCGATTGCCTCTGCTTATGCCGCTAAAGACCTGCCTTGCCCTCTGGGCATCAGGGCTCATTCCACCAGAGGCATGGCCTCATCGTGGGCATGGTCCTGCGGGATTTCCATCCACGACATTTGTGTGGCTGCGGGATGGGCCTCCCCCTCCACTTTTGTCAGATTTTATAACTTGGAAGTTCCAGCCTTACAGGCTAAAATTCTGGCGGTCTAGTACTCACAGCCCTCCTATAGAAGCCGCACTATCGGGAGTTCCATCACAACCGGCTCACCCCTTGTGTTCCCCTATGTGCTTATGCATTAGCCTACACATCACGGCCCGCCTTCGCCGGCCGCCTTGGGCGTTTTTTGCACTAGATGATAACGGCCGCCATGCCGGCCGCCGTATTATCTTCATCCACTTATAGATTCCCCCGGTGTTCCCCTGGGATGCTTAGTGGTTACTTAGCGCGCACGGCGTTGACCAGGTGTTCCCGTAGCGTAAGCTAGCTTACGCAATACGAGAGAACCTCTCGTAAGAGAACGACTCGGTTACCTAACGTAACCTCGGTTCTCTCTAGATGAGGGAACGAGTATTGCGTTCCCGGCCGTGCTTGCGCCACTAGCGTTTCGCTTCATGCTACAGAATCAACGAACGAGCTGGGAGAGCGACCTTTATACACTGTAGCCACGCCCCTTTTGGCGGGCTGTGACGCAGTGAGCGAGCGCCGTCCGCTCATTGGCCGCGGACTCAGCGCCGCTCTCCCATAGGTTCGTGCATTCTCTCTGAGCGAACCAATGAGCCGCTAGCTAGCCCGCTCATGGTCTGCCTCAGAAGAGACTGCGTTGACAATGATTACAAAATTATGGAATAATTTTTTGGCTTCAACTTCTCAGCAAAGATGAATCTTTCCCGTAGCGTAAGCTAGCTTACGCAATACTCGTTCCCTCATCTAGAGAGAACCGAGGTTACGTTAGGTAACCGATTCGATTTCAGCAATGCATGCAGTTATTTAGGTGCTGTCGCATCAATTGACATGCCATCTCCTTTTCTCTCTTTCTTTTTCTATTTTGAGCACCACAGCATTTTGTTTTATCCATCTTTTTCGACGACAACTCACTACTCGTACTTGCTCGCTCAGAGCTCACGGCGCCCCCGCCCGCTCGCGATATTACCCGCCCCCTTCTCCATGAGGGCACCTACTCTAGCCTGGCTGTTAGTCCTCTAAAATTTTATATAACATTGAAGGAATGCAGAAATGATTTAGAAACGCACAACGGCAGCTACATATAGAAATAGCTGCCGTTGTAGCCTATATATAATTTTTTTTTTTTTTTTTTTTTTTTTACCATCGCTTTGGCGCCCCCCATTGTGCTGCGCCCCTATGCGCCGCATATATCGCATACCCACTTTTTGCGCCACTGACTGTGCAGATATCATTTGATAGTTTTAATTCATTTATTTAAACGTTTCTCTTCATAGTATTTAAATCTAGCACTGTTTGTCTATGATGTTCTCACAGTTAGTGTCATGACAAGACCGCATTTGAGGACAGCGGAAAAAACTATTGTCACACTCAACCCACACATCACTCAAACATCTGAAATAAGTCATGAGAGATCTCAATAATGTGTGACTATAGAGCCCTGTACCTGTACATGCCATTTACAATGACACGCAATATACCACACTCTGAGGTCTAAAAGAATCCATTTTGCATGCAAACATTTCCTACATGTCCTCTATTTCACCTCAAATTTAAATAAGAGCAATAAGCGTCCCTTTATTTGTTATTTCTACTCTTTATAAAAACAAATTCCACTTTTAAAAAGCCTGGCTTGTCCAAAGATGCATTGGATTTTTGAAGTATAGCCCTTTAAATAAAAGGGAATTACTTCAGTTGCTACTAAAAGAGGCCCCATGTGGGAGGGGTGGGACTTCCTCAATTGCACATGACTGGAATAATGAGGAACATCTACAGTGACCTTGTTGTGTCAGCTACAGGAAGTTTAGTTTGCTCAAGGCACTTAGTGGAGGATGCACGGTGAGTAAGCTACATGTTTTCTCATTTTAGCATGAGAAAGAAACAGAGCTTCTATCGAAAGCATTCCTGTGTCATTCCTAGCCTCGTGCAAGAATGCAAAAGTCCATGAGACCTAATGTATTGCAGCTCCGACTAACTTGCTAAATTATGTTTTTGGTCATGGTGACATGTGGGATGTTTTGTCAGTTACCAGATGGCCTGTCCACTCTCAGGAAGAAATCCTCTGGTCTTATGCAATCTTTCTCACTCTCTTCCTGATGCTGCCTCGGCACTCTCAGTCCTGTACAATCTCTCTGCTAAAGCTCTAAGATGGACACCAGATGCTGAAACCTGATGCTTCAGACGACCAAGCAGCCTGCTGAGGATTGCTGTATTTTTTTTTTATCTTCCTTTGTTTACATTGCTTATTAATTTGCATGTTTTAGCCAAATGTAGAGCAAGATCTCAGAACAATGGTCGATTATCCAGACACTTTTCCAGTTCCTGATCTACAATACTGCTTCTAAGTAAATATATCCGATGCATGAACTTTTGAACTGTTTGACCGACAGTCAAACAGTTAATAAAAAAACAGCATGCTTCAAAGAACATTTTAAAGCCTTTTAGGAGAACGTTTGGGGTGTATGATGCCTTTCTGGAAATTCCATTGCGATCCTGTTTCTGATTTATGCTGTAATCATGCCATTTGAATCACTAAGTTAGTTAAGCGAACAACAGTTTTTTAATTAGAAAACCAATAAAAAATACATGTGGGAGAACTATCTGCCCAAAGTAACACACAAAGATGAATGAATGAGCACTCATTCATAACTAAATACTTGTGAGTACTACTATCTTTTCTTTAGAAAGCTTGATTTAGAAAAGAATAATAAAAATCACATAATTTTGTGTATATTCCCAGTTATCCAGCTCCAAATAATGTGACCCAAACATTGTCCTGAAGTTCGAACTTCTTTTTCTTGTTTCTTCCTTTCTTTGTCCACCAAATTACATCCTGCCCTGCATGAACCCAATATGGTGAAGTGTGTGTTCATATGAGTGGTTGTCATGGACTCACCTCCTTGTTCATCCATGAATGCTTCGACCAATAATCCCCTCTCTCTCTTTCTCTCTCGCCCCAGCTCTCAGAGTGCTGTTTCGGGTGTTTGGCTCGGCTCTCTAGAGGGTCTTTCCCATTCCTCAGGTTCTTTATAAGGCTTGGGGGCATGAGTGGGCGGGCCAGTCACCAAGCCTTCTCCCTCCCTCCGCCACCAACCATGTTAACGATCTGCCTGTTACCTCTCAACTGTGTGTGTGTGTGTGTGAGAGAGAGAGAGAAACAAAGACGCTGACAAAGAGTGTGTCTGTGTGTGTGTGTGTGTGTCTGTGTGTCTCTGTGTGTGTGTGTTTGTGTGTACATGAGAAAGAGATAGACAGAGAGAACTTACCTTATAGTATCATTATACACACTCCTCCCTCACTAACCGTGTTCGTACCACTTTTGCCAGAGCTCTGACCAGAAACAAAGACATTTTTGTTTCTCTCTGGGTTACAACACCCCAGCTCTTTCACAGCCCTTGGTAGTCATAAAAAAAAAACAAAAAAAAAAAAAAAAAAAAAAACATCAGCACACAACAAAAGTCATGTTTTCTCTTCTTTTGTGTCTGGGTCTTTCACACAGGTGATGCCCTGGGGACAGAAAGAAGTGTTGATGGATGTGTGAAATATGAAGTTCAGTTAGGCTTATCTTGTGTTTTACAGTATATAAATGCAGGGATAGTTCACTTAAATGCAACTTTCATTGTATGAAAAATAGCTGCTGACATCCTGCTAAATATATTCGGTAACACTTTACAATAAGGTTCGTTAGTTAACATTAGTTAGTTAATATGAACTAATAATGAATAGCACATATACAGCATTTGTTAATCTTTGTTAATGTTATTTTCAACATTTACTAATACTTGATTAAAATCTTGTTAACATTAGTTAATGCACCGTGAACTAACATGAACAAACAATGAACAGCTGTGTTTTCATGAACTAACATTAACAAAGATGAACAAATGCAGTAACAAATGCATTGCTCATGGTTAGTGCATGTTAGTAAATACATTAACTAATGTTAACTAATGAACCTTATTGTAAAGTGTTACCATATATTCTTTTCTATTCTGCAGAAGAAAGTCATGTGGATTTGAAATTGTTTTTATTTTACATCTGTGTCTGAAAACTATGGGAACATTATGTATTTTTGCAAAGTATTTTTAATTGATTGTATGTATAGTAATAAAATGATAGCATACATTTAAAACCCTTTAACTGACTTCTCAACCTAACGATTGAGCACATTTTGAGTCTCTATAATTTATTGAGAGGAGTACCTAACTTAACTCAAACTGATTGAGCCATACAACACTTCTTCTAACATGGATGTCAGAAACAAATAAATCACCCCAGCCATGTTGAACATGTGTTTTTGGTGAAATTTTGCAAGCTAAGCATAATGTTTTACATATTACACTGTAAGAACCCTAACTTTACAAAATGATGTTACTTGGTGCTATGAAAAGATTTAAGTATAATAATAATTTTAATAATTTTTCATGGAAGTTATGGAAGTTTTAAATTTACATTAAATCAAATATACTGTACTAAATATTTTTTTTCTTTTATATAAAATGTATATTTTACAAAATATTTTTTACTATAAAATTACTATAAAATCAAATCCATATATCTGTTCCAAATTTGAAGTTGATATCACAAAAATTGAAGTTCTCATGAGATTTTGTTTAGGCGTAATGCCAAAAATGACATAAGTTCCATTGAATTTAATTGTATGCATTCTGCTGTAGCAAATTAATAAATTTCTGTCCAAATATCACTTCTGTTACAAAATACGGAACCTTGAGGCTCATACCTTTCTGACAATGTGTTTTGTCAAGACTAGAAAAGGTTTTGATCACAAATTATGATGGGCAATGAAAAAGTATGGCAAAGTATGTGTATGGATTCCGGTACCATTTATTACCATTAAGTGACATCTCAACCACTTAGTGGCCGATATTTTAAATATTATGGGATGTGTTGAAAAAAAAAATACATGTGGTTACTAGTGACATAAGAAGATAAGAAATTAACATTTGAGCCTAGTTTTGAAGAAAAAGGATGTTGGAAAAAAATAATACAAGAGAGACATTTGAACAGCGTTTTCACTTCCTCAACCAATGAAACTGATTGACACGAATTCTTAGAAGGTACAAGAGAACAATTATGTTGCAATTCACCGCAAAGAAATAATTGTTTTTGAATGCTCAGAAACACAGATGCTGGTCCGTTCTCTCTATAATCTCGAAAGAACATGCACAGATTCCCTGAGATATGCAGCTGCTAATTAAAATGATGGTTCACCCAAAATACACATTTCTTCATTTCCGTGTTGTTTGGTCTTATTCCCCATTCACTTTCACTGCTTTTTTCCATACAATGTAAGCAAATTGTGACTATCGTTGTCCTTCTGCTTTCTGACATCTTCTTTTGGGAATAAAGAAAGTCATGGGTTATGAGTAAATGATGACAGAATGTTCATTTTTGGTAAACTGTTCCTTTAAATGGGCAGTTCTTCAGTTTATCTACTGTATAGATGAGTAAAGAGATTAAACACAAGATCAAAGTCATAATATCCTGTTTTAGAGTTTTTTTTTTTAAAGTTAGCATGAAATATTTAGAATATGTTTAGAACAATAAAAGTCTTTGAGGCAGTTCCACAACAGTGGAAATGCATTGGATCGTGGTCACTCTGAGTGGAAACTATTGCCTTTTTAAATTTAGAACACAGAAAGGACCTCTGTGATACCAAATGCATAAAACATTACTTTTGGAAGTTCAGTCTCTACAATTTTCCTCGAAAGAAAATGCATCATCTGAATGACTTCCTGTGGTCCCTGAAACAGAAAAAGCATATTCTTTCAATTAAACTTCCAGAATGCTGTTTCCTGGTGTGTTTATATCCCCTGTATTTGGATGGTAACAACATACTGTAATCAAGTGCCTCATCTTGTTTCCATGTGAACAAAGTAATTGGACCAAAATACTGATTAGAGAAAAAAATTGCAGATGTGTTCATAGGAAACATTTGAAAGGGAGTGCCTAATCATATTGCATAGTGCTTTTCAGTCATTCTCTGACCCCATGCACATCCTATTGTTATGGGCTCCCAAAGAGCATGAATAATACAGAGTTTTTCGCACATTGATCATTTCCAAGACATCATCAATGATTGTTAGAAATTTGTGGTTTAAGCATTTGGTCAAAAGTGTATCCGACCATTTCCGCACAGATCTGTTTATATCAATTCATGCCATGGTTTGTGTAACTGGCAAAGTATTATTGAATGAACCCCCAATGGTACTAATGGCACTAACTGAGTTTCCAAAATTAAACTGAAAACATTGCCAATGGAGACTCAGAACCAGCAGGCTCACGGCTGTTTGGTAATGATGCCAACCATCTGCTTCCCACATGGAAAAACTCTCTTCCCTTCAAAAAAGGTTAAAAGAAGACTTTAACTACACATTAAAAGAAGCATTTGTGGTACACAACTTGGACAATAAGTACGCACCCAGTCTGCGCATATGAAGTCTATTTAAAGAACACATTCAGCAGGCATGTCATTCTCATTTGATTTATAAAAGAGTGCATATGATGAATTGACTATTGTGAATGAGATCATTTCTGTGTTGTGAGTGGTGCTCTAGGCTAATCTTGCATGGCCCATTATTCCCCATTTTACCAATTACTCCATTAATTCACTTCTACACTGTAAACTACATTCATTTAAACAAAAAATGTATTGCCTTTTAAATCAATGTGCAGTTGCATAATCTGCTTAGTCTTAAAAAAAGAGTCATCTACTTTTCAAGTCACAGGTTACATAAAAAGGTTGTTTAACATGGTTTTGTTAGTTTCATGTTTTAATTGAACATAAATGTGTACAAAAGCAATTACTTGGCTTGACTACAAGGTACGCCTATGCATAATCAAACAATGAACAGTGAGAATATGACACAAGGGAACCAATCAGAACAAGACACATGGACAGGGGAAGCACATGGCAGGAACATGAAACATGGCCAAGGCAAACTACTAAATAAAAGATATGAAAACAAACTTGAACCAAAACCCAATGTGACAGATAGGCTTAGATTGTACAATTTGAACTAGAAAAGTAGGACGGATTTCCCTTTGTTAACTGCTAGTTGATCGCAGGGGGTATTTGTTTGTGATGTATATAGGCCTATGTGTGGCATGTGTTGTTGGGCCAGTGTATTGTTGTCAATAAAGTTAGTGGGCATACCAAGACACATTCCTATCACATTTCTATCAACAACTGTATTGTTGAAATGGCTATATAAATCTTTGATACTTGGATAGTTGTTCGAACTAGTTCTTCAGGCATGGCTTATGAGTTTATGCAACTAGCCCTCAGGTTTTAAAGATAGAGATTCTGTCTAAACTGACAAACATATGAGTTGTGCCAAGTGTTTCACTCTGGGACTTGGCTCAGATTTAGTCACGGTATCAGAGCTTTTAACTAAGAGACTGTGCAATGTGGAAAATAAATAAAACCTGTCCGAACATCTGGATTGTGTTGTCTAAGGTGGCCTTGTCGATGATGTGCTCCTTTAAATCGAGTCATGACGTGAGGCCATTCCTGTTTTGCATATTTTCATGTCCCAATTTCAAACTCACAATTATGAAATCTCAAAGTGGTGTAGGGCCTATTTAATTACAATATTGTCTGTTCTCAACACAAAATAGTAGCTTTTTACTTTTATCTGGGCTTTCAACAAAATTCTACACATGTGCTACCAACAATAATTATGGCGTTGCCTATAGCGCACATACTCCACAGGAGTAGTCTCACAATCTGGTCCAAACTTTATGAGGCAGTGTTTTTGAGGTGTTTTCGTGCAACACTATCTGGGTCGAGAACACAATTTAACAGGGCTCCGTACTAGCTATTTATTTAAATACTGTTATAATTTTTCTTCTAAATAGTATAAATAAGATGTAGGCCTACTTATTAAAGGTGAATTGCATTGACCAGAGCATAGTTATGAAAGTACATTAATACTCAAAAGTTCCAGAGTTGTTAATACAGGTGAATACACAACAGGAACGAATGACCCACAGTGTCCAAAATTAAATAAATAACCGTGTTCCCCTTCTACGCGAGACAAAACATTCTTTTAGATACCAAGCATTCATAAAATGCCCCCAAAAAGCAAAATATCAGCGTTAAGAATGGCCCATTGTCCATGTCCGGCCCTTGGAATGCAGACGAACCGTCTGATAAGTGTAAGTTATCCTGATGTTTAGCTACACGCCGCCCTCTAGTGCTGGAGATTATGACTCAAACCCATGGCCTACACAACAACTTTGTCCTTTGACAAACTGAAATTTTTTGCGTAGATGTTAGGTGCAACATTATGTTATGTATGTTTGGTAAGCGGCGCATAGATATCTATATAGAGAGTCTATGAAGTATCCAAGTAACCGTAAAAAATGTTTGTGAATCGTAACGCTCGCGGCGTAATAATGCGTAAAGCTTAGTACGTACGCTTGTTACGTATCAACGTGGATGAACGTCAACATGGCCGAAACCATGAGAGCAGCTGCTGAGAGTTGATGTGGCACTGAAGAGTAGCAGTGGCAGTTAATTTGAATTGAATAAGTAATATTTATTTAGCAGATTAAGGTATGTAAGATGATATTTACACATTAAGATATTGCACGATCGCTTTTACATTAGACATGTCATTCTGGGCCATTTATTATTCCTTCTTGCATCAGCCAACGTGTATCTAAAGAAAGTTTAACGAAGAAATAAGACGTGTTGTTCTTTAATGTCTGCATTGATTGTGTTTATTAATTATATTGACTATTGTATCGGTTTCCTGAACCTCGTTGTTCTTTAATATTGTTAAATATTATTGTAGATATCATGCACTTATATACACACAGTATATAAAAAAACAACTTTTCTTCAGCACAATGATGCACCTTTCTTTGAATTTGAATAGAACTTGACGTTACTGGGTCAATTGGGTGTTGAATTCATGTTATAACTTATATCAAGCTTTTGTTTACATTTACATTCAGTTTAAGAAGTTATGATCACATAATATCTCACATAATTCATTATGTCGGGTGGTGGGATTAATTAGATTAATTGTTTTTTGATATCTGAAATATATGGGCTATGTTTTAGTTGTACAGATCTGGTCACCATGTATCTCCAGAAGATGTTCTCGTGTTCTCGGCTTTTAGCGAGACCAAATGCTCTGCAAACCTTCAGAAGAGCTGCTTCTCAAGGCAAAAGTAAGTACTTGTGTATTATTTATGTGCCTTGTATCCCATACCTCAGTAAAGAAAGAAACATGTAGGGTAATTTAAAGAAAAAATTGCAACACTGGCTGACTGTACTCATCCTGTATATCAGTATATACTTCCTTGTTTCTTATTGATTAAAATCAGTCTGTAATTAAAATATGGAGATGCAATAAGTTGTTTCATGACCCTTGCTTCTAATTTACAGCCTGTCTGTCTGTCTCATTCACTGGGTCGGTCGGTGCTCTTCTTTGAGTTCTGTCCTGTCAGCGTTTGGTTGTGCTGTCTGGCTTTGCTGATGTGGCACCTTTTAGCATGTTATTTTCATTCATAAAGAATGTGCCGGGGCTTTGGTGGGCGCTGTACTTTACAAACTCACAGCTTTGTGAATTGCTTGTCCCAGATTTATGTTCTCTTCAATTGATTGCTTTGACTTTGATTTCAGATAACTTGAGTGACTGCATTTTTTTTTTATTTAACCTCTATAATGTGTATTTAAAAAAGATTTTTAATGTAGGGCGAGACTTAAATTTATTAATTGAAAGTTGTTTGGGTTATGAAAGTAAGACCGTAATGTAATTGGTTATTGTTATTTTTCCCTGCTAATGTGCCTATGTTTACATCACACAATGGGGGGTGGTGATGGCGCAGTGGATAAGACACATGTCTTTGGTGTGAGAGACCCGGGTTTGAATCCACTGTGAGACACCAATGTGTCCCTGAGCAAGACACTTAACCCCTAGTTTCTCCAGAGGCGTGCGACGTCTGACATATATTGCAGTCACTTTGGATAGAAGCATCAGCTAAATGAATAAATGTAAATGTAGAATAAGAGAAACAGAAAGAGAAGTTATTACATTTTATGATTCATGATTATTATAGATTAGGAGAACATAATGAGAGCATTGATGAATTTTGTTAAATAAGACCAGGGATATTTATTAAGTAAAATATAGTCAGACTCAACATTGATTTCATGCTTTGCTTAATTTTCTGGAATCCCATAGAGACCTACACTTGTTTTCAAGTACATTTTTTTTTTCTGATATAAAGGGTGTGGTTTCAGATTCACTGCTTTTACTCAAAACTTCTTAGTTTTTTTTTTTTACATTTAGATGACCTTTTGCCGTGATGTAAGACTCATTGAAAGTATTTAATTTAATGTAATCTTTTTAGTCTCAGAATAAAAAAAAAATCAAATTTTCATAGTGTACTCTACACTTGTAGCATTTTAAACAGTCAAATTAAGTTTTTAGAGATTTTATTTTCAATTTATTCACATAATATATATATGTATATATATATATGCGTGTTTCACTTCAGTAATATATTAGTATTTTTATAAATATTATTAAAACAAATCAAATATTTATATTTAAAATATTTATATCAAATATTTATATATAAATATTTATATATAATATGTATAAATAGAAATATATGTATAATTAAAATAGACATCATTGGAATTTGATTGGATCATGAAAGTTAGACTGCTGTTATTGCTTTTTTTTCCATTAGGGAAACAGAAAGTTATTACATTTTAGATTGTGAAAACATGCATTGATTAATTTTGAATTACAAGACAAGGGCCATTAAATATTTACTTTATTTACTAAATATTTACTCAAATGATTTGATAAGTAAATATAGTCAATAATGACTTTTACTGTCATTTAAATCTTTTTTTTTATTTTTTCTGGAATACCAGGAGGACAACCATGGTGTTAATTTTTGTTTACATTTATCCATTTAGCAGACCAAATAGAGGAACAAGCAATTTGTCAACGGTTCTAATAGTATACAATGCCATTTGTTACATTACGGGCATGCACTTCCTACTTCCTGTTTTCTCTGCTTGTTTCTTACCATTTCCACATTATTCTGATATTCATCAGTGTTACAATCAGTGCACACTAACACAATCCATCCACGCACTCACGGCTTTCCTGCATGGCGCCTCATTGGGTTATTTCCCGGCTTTCTCTCCCATGCAGATCCCTCTTTCTTCCCATTTCCTACACTCCATGCTGTGCGTCAGTGGAGTAATGTGCCTTTTTTTACAGTGCCACTGGCACGGGCGCACGGTAAGTCATTTGCCCACCGCAGTGAGCTGCGCCAGGCCAAAAGAATCGTTGTCAAGTTGGGGAGTGCCGTCGTAACCCGCGGCGACGAGTGTGGCCTCGCTTTGGGCCGACTTGCTTCAATAGTAGAACAGGTAAAGGATTTGCAAATGAAGAGTTCAGATGCAAAAGCCTCTAAATGCCATTTGAAATTTTCTTCTAAAATGACCATTTTTATCAAGCTTGTATATTTAAGTTCAGTAATTTCACTTAAATTACAATTAATAGGTAATCTTCATTGCCATTTAAGTGAAATTACTGAACTTAAATATACAAGCTAAAAATGATCATTTTAGAAGAAAATTTCAAATGGCACTTATAGGCTTTTGCATCTGAACTCTTCAAATAAGTCTGTGATGTAACACATTTTTACTAACAAGGCGGTGTTATGCAATATTTCATTGTTGACACAATATGGCTCTGGATTTTGATTGTTTAAGGTGGCCGTGCTTCAGAATCAGGGTAGAGAGATGATGATCGTGACCAGCGGTGCTGTAGCTTTTGGAAAGCAAAGGCTGAGGCACGAAATTCTTCTCTCACAGAGCGTCAGACAAGCCCTGCATTCAGGCCAGAATCAGCTCAAAGATATGGTGAGGAGTCTGACATACAAATCTGTTGTTAATTTCTTTGGTTTTTTTTAAATGCTTTAAACAAAAATACAATATTATAAATGTATAGTTCTTCCAAAAATGAAAATCCAGTTTCAATTACTCGCCCTCATTTAATTCTAAATGAGAAGACTTTCTTTCAACTTCTAAACACAAACTTTTTAAATTGAAAAATCTAAATGTAAATCCATTCAACCAAAACTTAGATTCTTTAAAATGTTCATAAAGAGATCGTAAAAGAAATGCATATGAATCGAGTGGTTTAATGCAAGGCTCCTGAAGAGACGGTCACTTCATATGATGAACGGATTTAATTTAGGCTTTTATTCACATATAAACATTGAAATAGCACATAAATAGATCACATCAAATATGGTAAATGAAACCATAGTTAAACCATTCTTGCCGGACGTGTGAGAACAAACCTCGTTCTCTCGTATGTCACGCGAGCATGTTTTATCTGAGTGTACAATCCTTTTAACTTGAATAAGTTGAATGTGTTTCCTCTGTCAGGCACTGCCGGTTCTAGAGGCGAGAGCGTGTGCCGCTGCGGGACAAAGTGGGCTTATGGCTCTGTATGAAGCAATGTTCACTCAGTACAGCACCTGCACAGCCCAGGTACATACACAAACTCACATATGCATAATGACACTTCACAATACACTCTTATTCATATTTTAATGGTTTTGTTTTGTTGTTGTTATTGCTTCAGATCCTGGTAACAAATCTGGACTTTCACGACGACCAGAAAAGACGAAATTTGAACAGCACCCTTCACGAGCTGCTGCGTATGAACATCGTTCCCATTATCAACACCAATGATGCTGTGGTGCCTCCCCCAGAACCCAACAGTGACCTACAGGGGGTAAATGTGGGTACAGAGCAAAATGAATTGGGAGATTGAGTCTTGCCAGCAGCCTTGCCACCCATCCTCTTCCTTTTGGAGCTGCATGCTGGGAGAGGGCTTTACAGATGCATGCTGGAGCAGAGCAATAAAGAGGCTTGATGTTTGTCTTCTGCACTGGTTCAGCCTGAGGGTTTTTCCATTCATGTTGAAACTGGAAAGAAACTAACATTACTTCATTCGCAGTACTGTCGCTTACTCTCTGAGCTCATCCACATTTACTCTATCATGCACTGGCTGCACCTTCTAATGTGGTTTCATGTGGAATTTTGCCTTTTTAGGATTAGAAGGAGTCATTATTCATCACACCCATTTTATTGCCCTAGTTTAGTGATAAATGCTCAACGAAGCTCACAAACATAGAGATGATGTCGTGCTTTGAGGGTTTCAAAGAAAGGGCTATTTTTGTCTAATTTGCTCTTTTGAGACTCTTTTTTTTCACACTCTGTATTTCTCTTTTTCATTCTGCAGGTTATCAGCATCAAGGATAATGATAGTCTTGCAGCGCGGCTTGCCGTGGAGATGAGGGCAGATCTACTCATCGCTCTCTCTGATGTAGAGGGTGAGATTTCAGATTGAATGTTTAGATCATACTTGTTAAGGCCATCATATAGTAACTTTGAACAAAATCAGGCAAAAACTATATTTGTTTGAAGACTGGAGTAATAATGCTGAACGTTCAGCTTTGTCATCACAGGAATTAATTACATTTAAATTAATAAATTACAGAAGAACAGTTAAAGTATTTTAAATTGTCATAATATTTGACAATATTATTATTTTTTAGTATTTTTAATTAAATAAATGCAGCCTTGGCGAGCAGAAGAGACCTATTTCACAAACATAAAAAATCTTTTAATCTAAAATCTATCTTTAAAAAAATCATAAATATATATGTGTGTGTGTGTATAATGTATGGTCATTTAAAAGTTCATTTTTGGAAAGGAATTAATGTTTTTATTCAGCAAGGCTGCATTAAACTAATCAGGAGTAATAGTAAAGACACATCGTTACTAAAGATTTCTATTTCAAGTAAATGCTGAAAAAATGTGTCATGGATATTTCACAAACGGTCATAACAATTATTACTTATGTTAATATTTCTTATGGTATTGTATAAAAAAATTAAGATAATATTTTGTACTTAAAATCAAGCCAAAAATACACGCTAAAGGGAAAACTTTAAAGACTATGAGAGTGACTCTTTTTTTATGCAGTTGCAATTGATGCGTAAACAATGGTTATACATTATTGGTTGAAATCTTTCTTAAACTCAACTGTTTACTCTGTCCTCTTTTGCCACTTATTTAGGCCTTTATGACAGCCCACCAGGGTCAGATGATGCCAAGCTCCTGGACACATTTTACCCTGGGGACCAGCACTCCATAACCTATGGCACAAAGTCCAGGGTCGGGATTGGGGGAATGGAAGCTAAGGTATTTTCGCAGAAAGAGAATCTGATATAGAAACACAATGTAGCTTTTGATTAGCCTGGCTAACGTCACACCACGTCTCATTGACATTGAAACGTGGTCTGGGAACCACGTTCATTTTCTCATATCTGAAGCGTGGTTCAGAGCCCAGAGCCGTTTATTAGGTGCTACGAATGTCTATCAAATGCGCCTGTACGTAGCTCATAGCCAATCATTTCAGTTAAACCAGATGACGTATGTAGAGCGAAAGAAATTAGACGACGAAGACGACAATGGGCCTAAGATTCATTGGCATCCTAAACTATTTAGTACAGTATCTAAGACTGCATCGAAAGGTACCTTTGTGTCTACTGACATGTTGGATCCATAGATATAAACAAACTGCTTCGAGTTTCATATAGACGTGGTCATCGTCTTGCTGCTCCCTCCCCGTCCTGTGATTGGACCATCGCTGAGGTTCATGGTATCTAGACGGGCTCACAGCGTTAATAATATCGCGCTGTCTAAATGTCTAAAAATCACAGTCTGTGTGTTCTCTAAACTTTAGGTAAAAGCTGCCCTCTGGGCTCTCCAAGGTGGGACTTCTGTTGTGATTGCTAATGGTACACACCCCAAAGTCACAGGTCATGTGATCACTGACATTGTTGAGGGCAAAAAAGTGGGAACATTCTTCTCAGAGGTCAAGCCAGCTGGTAAGTTATCTCTGGTTCTACTGAATCGGTTTTCGTCTGACAAGATTTGTTATCCTTATCTGTTAAAAGTCCTCAGATGCCACTTTTCTTCATCCACAGGCCCTACAGTTGAGCAGCAGACAGAAATGGCTCGCTCTGCTGGCAGGACACTTGCTTCCCTTGAACCCGAACAGGTTAGTTAAAAATTTAAACCACTGTTTTAAATGACTGTCTGGAATCACGTGGCCTAGTATTTTCCCAGAAACCATTGAATCATTTTATTAAAATAAAATATTTTGGGTTACTTTCATCTTCACATCTATAGACAGCACCAGTGTCAAATCATTGTTTGTCCACAGAGAAGTGACATCATCTGTGCATTTGCTGATCTCCTCACCGAGAGGAAAGACGAGATCTTATCTGCCAACAAAAAGGACATGGAGCATGCTGCCAGCATAGGTAACAGGAAGTGATTGCTTCTCTGTAGACCACGTCTAATGTAACTTCCCCCTATTTGAGTAAGTTGCATATCAGTCAGTTTTTTTCTGTGATGTTACAGGTCGTCTGTCTCCAGCCTTGCTGAAGCGACTCGCTTTGTCATCCTCAAAGCTGAACAGTCTGTCCATCGGTCTGCGCCAGATCGCAGTGTCCTCTCAGGACAGCGTTGGCAGGGTTCTGCGAAGGACCCGTGTGGCAAACAACCTGGAGCTGGAGCAGATCACTGTCCCCATAGGAGTACTGCTGGTCATCTTCGAGTCACGGCCAGACTGCCTCCCCCAGGTCAGGTGCACAAAATGCATACCTATACATAAATAATGTTATGGTTTGGTTTTCCTGCTTGTGAGCACGTGGCCAGTGGGTGGTGCTTAAAAATCTGGGCTGTAAACAAAAAAGTTGTTGGTTCAAACACGACAGTAGCCAAGGCTCCAGTTTTCTCCACTGAGTTTGAGAAACCAGTATGTGTACTGTTAAGTCACCTTTTATAAACTTGCTAAATTTAGTTTATCTCGACAGGTTTCTGCTTTAGCCATTGCAAGTGGAAATGCTCTTTTGCTGAAAGGTGGCAAAGAGGCAGCCAACACAAATCGCATCCTGCATGAGCTCGCCCAGGAGGCCCTGTCCATTCATGGAGTGAAAGACGCCATCCAGCTGGTAAATGAAACACTTTTGCACTGTAGATTTTAACCTTGCACAGACACACACGCTACTGTTCAAAAGTTTGGTACGAAACTTTTGTTAGTACAAAATTTATTATATTCATTTATTTTTTTTGACAGAATTCCCTCCCCAAGCTTACCAAGGCTGAATTTATTCAATAACAAATAAAGTAAAAACAAATATCCTGAAATCGTATTACAATTTAAAAATACTGTTTTCTATTGTAATGTATATCTTAAAATGTAATTGATTCCTGTGTTGGCAAAGCTGTATTATTTCAGGCTTTAGTGTCACATTTATTATTAATAATGTTGAAAACTGTTGTGCTGCTTTTCAAATTTTGAGGAAACGGTGATTCTTCGTGATTCAGGATTATTTGATGGATTCAAAAGAACTGCTTTGTTTGAAATCGATATTGTATGTAACAAAATAAATGTCTTTACTGTAACTTTTGAACAATTTAATGCATACTTGCTGCATATTAGTATTAATTAAAAAAATACATTGACCTTCTGATTGGCTGTTTGTATGTACAGTATATGTATACAAACAGTTGTAATCAAACTATTCAACTCCCTTTGCAAATCAGGTTTATTGGCAAAATGTACAGGATTTCAGCTGTTTGCAAATAAGCAAATCAAGCAAAAGTCATTGAAATAGAACAACAAATGTTTCCCCAAATTCAACTGAAAATGCAATGGGCGTTGAATAATCTTGATTACAAATGTATATGCATATTAGTCATTCAAGAATGATATATTGTGTGGCAGGTGAGCACGCGTGAAGAGGTGGAGGATCTGTGCCGTCTGGAGAAGATGATTGATCTGATCATTCCCCGTGGCTCCTCTCAGCTAGTCAGAGATATTCAGCGTGCAGCGAAAGGCATCCCTGTTCTTGGTCATAGTGAGGGAATCTGCCATGTTTATGTGGACCATGAGGCCAGTATTGACAAAGCCATCAATATCAGTAAGACAGCCAATGAAGATTTACTAGTGTGGATTATGTTTATAAAGTACAACTATGTGGGGATTTTCTTTTATTGTTTGTAACGATATAAATTACACTAGTTATGTTTCATCTTTGTAGTCCGAGACTCCAAATGTGACTACCCTGCAGCCTGTAACGCTATGGAAACCCTGTTGGTGCATCGAGATCTTCTCAGAACACCACTGTTTGATCAGATCATCGACATGCTGAGAACAGAACATGTAAGACTATCAATGGCTATGTGTCCATTTAAAGTTGCGCATTTGACTTGGACGACTTGTGAGAATATCACAAAAAAACATTTTGCGAAGCACTGTTTCCATTCCATGTGTTGAAGAGAACAAAATCATCATCACATCCTTGGAAATTGCTGCGAAATATCTAATAGAAAAGGTTGCTGCAATCAGGAAAGCCACTGTGGCTCTTTTATCCTACATCATAAATGACATCAGACGAAATGCAATGAACACTTTCATGTTATCTTGTGTTCAGGTGCCTGATGTTTGTGAATGCAATCGTGAAACAGTTCTGGGAGGTCATTATATCAAATAATTTTAATGACAGCCTTTGGCCCGGATATTTCAGAATAACTAAAACAACATTTGAGATGCCGTGCAATGAATCCACTGCTTAGTCCAGTTATCCAATCACATTCTCTGTTGAGGCAAAGTCACGCGAGTTGTTTTGTTGTTGTTGCTCATCGAGATTTATTCTGTAAATGTGTTTCCATCATAGTTAATACAAGTCTTATGGGATAAAAAGTTTATGCACATTTTTTAATAGAAAGTTTGCTGTCTAATAGAAACAGAATTTATTTGAAATATTATTTGATAACATTATAAATGTGTTTATGGTCACATCAATTTAATGTGTCCTATAATGTATTCATTTATTTAAAAAATCATTTTAATGGTAGTGTACATCTCACTATTACTGTTGTTTTTTTGTGGAAACAAGCTGCAGTATTTTATTTTTTTGCATATTACAAAATGATACTCTACGTTTATTACTACATTTAATTAAAATGATTTATGATTTGACCCCTGTAGGTGAAGATCCACGCTGGCCCCAAATTTGCATCCTACCTGACCTTCAGTCCATCAGAGGTGAAATCTCTGCGTACCGAATACGGGGATCTGGAGTGCTGTATCGAGGTGGTGGACAGTACGCAGGAGGCTGTTGATCACATTCATAAATACGGCAGTTCCCACACTGATGTGATTGTCACGGAAAATGGTAAGGCTGAACATATACCTGTCCTTTAGTGCGTGGTGGATTTATGTATCATAAATCTAGACACTTTGGTGAGTTAATATTAAAGTTACATGCTGTGCAATTGTGAAATTGATGTGTTGTGAAAAAAAGCAGTGCTGTAGCGCCATCTAGTGGAAAGATCATTGCTGCTTCCACACATACATTGACATCTGGTATTTAGTCAGTTATGTATCTTTTATTTTGTTATGTGCTCTGTGTAGAGGAAACAGCAGAGCAGTTCCTTCAGCAATTGGATAGTGCCTGTGTCTTCTGGAATGCCAGCTCACGCTTTGCTGATGGATTTCGTTTTGGTCTCGGTAGGTCTCTTTTTCTTATCCCCCCCAAACACTTGATTTAAATATTTCCCTTTTAATTGCCTAATAATGACTCTGTGGTGCTTTGTAGGTGCGGAGGTTGGCATCAGCACGGCCCGTATTCATGCCCGTGGACCTGTGGGGTTGGAAGGGCTTCTCACTACCAAGTGGGTCTTACGGGGTGAAGGCCAAACAGCTGCAGACTTCTCTGAGCAGGGCAGCATGACGTATCTGCACGAGAACCTTCCAGTGGCGCAGCTTCTTCCTGGACGCAGAACCTCCAGCTAGAGTCTTTAAGTAAAACTTACCCGCTTAAAAAACAATCCTCCATCAGACGGTTTATTTCGATTAAGTGCGAATACATGTAAAATCATAGTTGGATTGAGAGTTATTCAGTAAACCCATACATTAAGAGCCTTTATGGCTGTTTTCCCCATAATTTGGGTGGTTTTAAGGGGCAAAGACCTCACTTCAGCTTTTAATCATGTGTATCCTGTTCTCAGTACATACCAGCTGAATTTAAAGCTGTGAAAAAACACATGAAAGGTCAGAAAATAAGGGATTTTGCTTAAAATCTTGATCCATCTTCTTGTTTATGTTGTAACTTTTGTTATGATTTGTGCGTTGTATTATATTTCTTTGAGTAGCGAAACGTTTCATGGCAAATATAATGACAATTCCACCACAGTACTGAGTCAATGAAAAGAGACTTCCCGAACTGCCAATGTTGTATTTATGTAATATTTAATTTTTGAAATCCAGTAGCAATTTTGAAATGACATTTCCTAGCAGAAATGAAAGCATTAAAAATCTTTGTGCTGAATTGCAGCATATTGTGTATGCATAACCTCAAACGTAATAGGGAAAGAATCTTGTGGCATAATACATAATAAAACTGATTGTTACTAAAAAGGACCATTTGCATATAGCTTAGTGCTGGTCATATACTGTACGACATAAGACAACAGTATTATTAATGAAACAAGAAACTACTATTTTCACACTGCTTTGTCATGTCAGTTGCTTTTATTGAAATGTAAAAGGAAAGGAAAAACAAACATCCTGTTCTTTACTTCTCTCTTTTTCCTTTTTTTTTTTTAAGATTAATTGCCTTTAAATCATAAATAATGCGGAGAACTGTAGATATTTCCCTGTACCTGGGACAGATAGACGTTGTCCTGAACTGCTTTAGAAGGCTTGATGTTTATTTAAAAGTACTATAATGCTCCACAAAATAGTGATGCTTATGGTGAGAAGAGTGTTCTGAAGATGTTCACAATTTTTGTATGTAGAATATTTTTTTTTTTTTTTGTACTTTCCAAATGCTTCTGGATAAATTTGCCGCTTCTGATAAAGACCTGAAAGTTTAATTTTTACCTGAAAGATGTTTGGAAAAAGATTTAGGGAGGAAACCTACAAGTATCGGGCCGTTTTGAACTTGATTAATAATCTTTCTTAAGTGCAGTTCAGTGTGGGAAACATCAAGAGGCTGTTCTGTAGGGAGAGAGAGACTTGCCAAGCACTAAGTGGGACATGGAAGAGTGAAAACAATACTACTGAGGATTAATTATGTTGCTATTAGGAAAGAAGAGACAGCGAGAAGACTGAGGCTTGCCATGAAAGTGCCAGTGCCTTTTGACTTACGAATTCTTTTTATTCTCCAAAATATGCGGTTTACGCTCAATGAGCCTTCATCAGGAACTAAAAAGATCCAGAGATGAAGAGAAACAAAGTCTAATTCATGTGTTATTGTGTTCCAACTTTACTGCGTAAGATCTATGATCAATGACTGTTTTGGATGAAAGAGGTTAAAAAAATGCTCAAATGTGGAGTGTTACTGCCAAAACTGGAGACGAAAATACAGGTGCTGCTACAAGAAAGCCTATTTATAACTAACATGCGAAACAAAGGTTGCTATGCTGGATTTCAAGTGATAAGATCACTTCTTGTGAAGTAACATGAGCGTTGACCCTTAAAATTGTATTTCAGATTAATTTTGTCAGTGCAGTTTTAATATGTTGAAATCATGACTGCTAAATAATTCTTGATTTGGTGTTGCATCAACCTGCGCACATAATGTCACATGCCAAGGTCTAGGTTGAGAGTTTAGGGTGTATGGAAATGAAACGAGCCATCGGACCTTCACAGTCAGTACAGATTTAATTGAACATTACTTGAGGCGAAAACTCATATTTCTTGTGTTTCCTTGATCTTTAGAGACTCAAACGTGCTCCCTGCAGAGCCTTATTTTTTCATATGTATAATTAATCGTCAAAGTTATTTATTCATTTGTATCTTTGCCAATTATGAGCTTCTAATTAAAAATTTCAATAATTGATATTTATCTCTGAAAGGGCTCGGTTTCTACTCCTTATGAAAAATGCATGAGCTGAGAAATGGACTTTTTGTTTTGTGTTCTGAGAGAGCTGCATGCTTGGGGCTAGGACCAGGCCACTTTGACTTTTCCTTTTTGAGTCTGCGTTGCCCTATGATGTGCTGCTAATATGGGGCCTCTTTCATGGGCCCAAAGCGTCTGCTAGACATCATGTGATCTTATAAAAGTCTTCTGCTCTCCCATCCTCAGACACCCTTTTTTTGTTCCTTAATAACTCAGTTCAAAGAACAAGCTCCTGTTTCCTTAATAATTTTCTTTTGTCTCTTGGGCACAAGATGACGTCATGCACCATCAAGGCAATAGATATGGAAGGCCAATGGGGCCAAAACGTGTCAGGGCCAACTAACATGTTAACGCGAAATTATGTAATTACGTGCAGGGTTTGAAATTAACACCCGCAAAATGCGGTTATAAATCAACTGTGGCGAATAACATTGTCATCACTAGCCAATTTGGTGTGTTAATTATGTTTACTCACTTTGTTAGGGAAGTTTGTGGAAACTTTGTTTGGAAGCGCAAATACTCAACTCGAGAGTCATCATGATAAATACAGCATATTGCGCATAATCTGCACATATCTGGCATGCTTGAATGTGCATGACACTATGCAACAAATAATGGAGTGTTAATTTGCATTAAAGCAATAGCGAAGATTAAAAAGCATTTGGTCAACAGAAAATACTACTAAAATTTGTTATTTTTCAAAATCGTGAAAACATTTTTAAGTAATAAATTCGCTGCGAGATCTTGCGAGAAACATTCACATTTCTCTGTTATTAATGGACCAAACAGAGCTGATCTGGAAACCAGGAAGAAACATTGTTTCATGAATTAAATATAGATACAGATCAGCAACATTCACCATGGATTTACTGTTGTAACACTACTAACTGTAACCATGGAAGTTTGGCAGCTGTAATGCTTTCAAGTAATATCATGTCGGTTTTATTTTAACATTATGAATACAATTGCTGCCCTCAAATGTCAATGTGAACTAAAATAAACCTTTGTTTATAACTACACAATTAAGTTTGTCCTAGGAGCTGTTTTGTTTTATGCTCCAAAAAAAAAGTCAGGTATAGCTCGATCATCGCTGAAAGTAAAAAAAATCGTATTTTATGATGTTAGTTTTAATAAAAATATAATTTAAAAAAATGAAATCAAGGAAATTTCTATGGCATTTATTTCTTTTTGCTGTACCGAAAACGTTGACAAGTGTAGCCTATCATATCGAACCGAACTGTGAATTTTGTGAACAATTACACCCCAATATATATGTATGTATGTATATATATATATATATATATATATATATATATATATATGCTGCAACGTTCATTTGGTTTCTTTTTTCCTTTGGCTAGTAGAATGTTAGTTTCAGACGTTTTGGCCTTATTGGCTTTCCATAAATGCACGACATATACTCACACGTCAATATTTTGAAGTTTCACTGCATTGAATTCAGACTGTACAAATATACTTAGTTTGATTTTAATACATTTTTCCTTTATTTCCAGTTGTAGTTGGGAAGGGAAGGGTGCTCATAAAATACACAGTTATCTCGGTCAACAGTGCTAAAGAAGACAGATAGCACTACTTAGGCCAGGCTGAACGGCACTTGTGCCGGATTCCAGCAAGCATCACAAATACATTCAGCACGACCACCTCGAGGTGATTGAAGGTTAGACATAGTCGCTTGGGAGCACACATTGGGAGAGGTGGTTGCGTGATTTGAATCTTCAGTTGAGGTCAGTCACACGTCGCAGGGAGCCCATGGTAGGACTTGGACTGCCCCACTCGACGTGCCTCCTGTATTCCCCAGGACGCAGGAAGAACTGGCGGCCAGTGTAGTTGGGGTGCTCATGGAGCATCCAGTAGCCCTCCATGACATTGGCAGAAGAGATGTCTCCGTTGTGGAAACGCTGACGCAGATCAGGGCAATCTTCATTCATCTCCATTGCCTGACCACCGAAATCGGAGCGCTCAAATATCTTCATCCTGTAGTTACCAGTGTACTGAGGAAGAAACAAACAGCATTATAGGTTATGTTTAAAGGTGAAATCATTTTCTACTACTCTGTTTATGCATTTTTAACTTAATTCCCTCCAAAAATGTAAAGCATTGCTCTGATTGATGAGCCCGACTGGCAACGTTAAATCAGCCAATAGCCTGATGATGGGGCGGGATCTTTTCTGTTTGGCAGACCAACGACAGACGAGGTGAGTGTTGTTATATACCCGTAAACTTGTTTGTTATATATATTTTACTATTAAGAACATAAACCGAGTAAACATCTGAAATCTTTAAAGACAAAAATATCAAATAAGAACAGTAAAAAATACTCAAAGAACAACCATTATTTTTGGTGAGCTAGTTCCTCACAAATAGCGTAACCATAACATTTTGATGCAAAGAGAAAAATATTTCCTATCATTATGGATGCCTTTTAAATAATACTGTTGTGTACAAATGCTGATTATTCAGGAAAGACTCACGGGAGGAACCATGCGGCATGAGCGAATGCAGTCGTTGAATCCAGCCCAGTGCTTGAAATCAGGGTATTCGCCCTTAGAAAGCATGTACTGATATCCAGAAAAGTTGGACTTCTCGTAGGCCACCCAGCTTCCACTCTCTACTCGGATGGAGTTGCAGCGAGAAAAGTGAGTATGCATGTCAGCACAGTCTCCACTGCACTCATAGTGACGGCCCTGGAAGCTTTTGTCTTCAAAGAAAGTAATCTGTTGGATGTTGCAATGAAAGACAAATACAGATTACTGGTCAATTTTAAGTTTGCAGTTTCACTCCATCATCAGATTTGTATATACATTTGATATAGAAAAACTGAAATGTTCTTTTCAATATAAGTATTTGGAAAGTATGTTTTATGGTCTGTCCGTTTACATTTTACAAGTCTACAATCTATCAAAGACTACAAAAACTATCTAAGGCTAATGGCAGTCTGTTTTAATACGTTTCCTTCACACTTCATTGTCGGAATCAAGTTATTTTGTAACAGAATAGCATGAGTACAGTAAAGATCCCATATTTTTTCATTACCAATGTTAACAAAGCTGAATTTGCATTGCAGTCCCATATTTTTTTTCCAAATAATACCCAAATAAGTCCCATAGAATACCCTTAATGAATATAACTACACGCTCCATCAATTAGGGTTCGAAGAACTGTTGCCAAACATATAACATGCTAAAAACATAATAATCACTGCAATAATAATCCAAGACTCTAAAGCATTTGCCTATTTAAATCCAAAACTGTGATTTATTTATTTGTATTTTTTTTTAGACGGGCAGTTAAAAGGATACTTTTAGGTTAGATCCGTATAATTTACTGACACCGTTTGGTCACTTACCTTGCCCATTGTGACTTTTCTCCGAGTGGACCAAATCATTTCTGAGGTCAGGACCTCTTTATAGACCCAGCATGGATCAGTGCTTTGTGTATGACTCACAAAACTCTGTCTGGTCAGCACTATGTGTTCTATAGAGTAAATGCGACTGTAGATCTGCCAGCATGCACACCCTTTGTGTCTTTGCAAGCTTTGTGCTTTCTCTCCCTCTACCTCTCTCTCACTCTCTCTCTCTCCAAACACAGCACCACTGCACTTTTTAGTGCTTGACAAAAAAGTTGCAAACTCTGCTTTTAGTTGCCTCAGGGCTTTATATGTAAATGCAATGAACTAGCAGGACACATAAATGAGGATAAAATGATAATGTGAAACTGGGATATGGGATTTAATTTCTTATTTAAGTTCTTGATTTTTTTTGTTTTATGATTTGGAATGAGATTAAAACGAATTCTTCAACCACATCAGATTTATAAAGTTGAGTTTGGCTTGCTTTTCATGTGCATTGGGCAGTGGATCAGTGGATCCTCATTCGAAAGCGAAATGGCAATCTATTTCCTTCACTACAGAGTAATTCAAAGCGTATATTGAAGAAAAGACAGCATGCGAGAACTGTTTTAATTGGTTTTAATGGTAAAAAACAGACCGCTTTTACATTAAACTGCTCCTCACTCTCCTAAAAGAGCCAATCATGGGATTCATGCAACCCCAGTCCATACAGGCTCTGTACTCCCCGGGCCTCAGGAAATACTGACGCCCTCTGTAGTTGGGGTGCTCGTAAAAGACCCAGAATCCCTCCATACAGTTACTGGAGTAGATACCGTGGTGGCCAAAACGTTCGTAGACATTGGGGCAGTCGTCTGTGAACTCCATCATGTGTCCGTGCATTTCAGGCCTGTTGTAGATTCTCATGCGGTAGGCACCTCTGTACTGTTGTGCGGAGAGAAAAAACAGCAGTTAGGCTCAATAATCAGGGCAAAGCAGACACATTTGAAAGACCAGTTGTCAGAACGTTAGGGAGGCGAAACTCTCAATTCTTCATGTCGCTGTTGAGTCTGAGCCTTTGAACATGACTTCCTGCTGTACTGCTGTTTCAAAGATTTTCAAGTAGACGTTTAGTCATTTTTGTCGAACAAACTCTAGTGACAGTGTCATGATTCTTCCACTGCCAAAAACAGAGATGAATGGAATTATGATGAGCCGCGCAGTCATTGGAGTGTGTCTTGCTCCATTTCAAATAACTAACGCTCCTGGTGGACCTGTGAACCTGTTTTTTTTTTTTTTTCCCCCTGCATATATGGATTACTTCAAAGGGCTCGTTGATTGACGTTGCGCTTTTTAAAGGTGTCTAACTGTGTGAAATAAAACCCATCAGTTTGATTGACTTACTGGGGGGAACATCTGACAAGATCTAATACAATTGTTGAAGCCCATCCAGTGGTGAAAGTCAGGATACTCCCCACGGCCCAGGACGTACTGATACCCCATATAGTTGGGCTTCTCGTAGCCCACCCAATGACCCCCCATGACCCGGATGGAGTTGCAGCAGTTGAAGTGCCTGTAGGTGTCATAGCAGTCAGAAGAGCACTCGTAGGAGCGCCCCTGGAAGTTGCGGCCTTCGTAAAAGATGATCTGACGACAGAAAGGCAATGATTTCACAAAGGTACAGCAGGTAGAAAGGATGTTAGCAAGGATCAGAGAAAAAAATCCATGCAAGTTAAGTCTTTGAATGAATATCATGATACATTTTGTCCAGTTTTAGCATTGTAAGGGCTTATATATATTATCTTGTGGGTGAAAATAAATGTAATCGAGTCATGAGAAACCATATGTAAGATTTAAATCCATATAAAATTGTATTTTGTAACGTCCCTTCTTATTCTGTGGAGTCTTCTATCTATACTGTCCAGTCATTTCTAGCTAATGTCCTGCACAAATGTTCCAGTTGTAGCATACAACCACATACCATCTTGATGTGAATGGCAATTTTAAACGGCCAGTGTCACTCTAACTTTAAGGTACCAGTATCAGCGCCTACCTTTCCCATGATTGCAGAGCAGGATGTCCGCGCCGTTCTGCCATGGAGGTCCCGGTGGACCTTTTATACTCTTCTATAGATGTATACATGCTGCTGCCAGAAAGACTAGAGTTTACCTTTGAAAACGTCACAGACCTTCCCCATTATTCATTTCTCTAAAAACAACTAAAGCCACAGTCCCATTATTCCTGAATGCTAGAGTTTACCTATACAAATTCCGCTCATCTCATGAGCCTTACCAGCAAACCAAGCCTTGTTCACCCATGACCTGTGATGTGTTCTTTTCACAACGGGCCACAAAAGGATCAGGTACTATAAACAGCCCTTTCTGTATATGGAACAATGTGTAGTTAAAATGACATGTAAACATTTTTTTACTGAGCGCACAAGTTTCATTTGATTCAAATCAAAGTTCCCTTTACGTAACAGGAGGGGTCCACGGCGGCCGCAAGGGGATGGAGGTTTGAGAAGAGGAGGATTCTATACCTGTCAAAATAAACATGTTCACTTTAGATATACACTGTAAAAATGAATACTCTATATCTAATCAATAAAATTGTGACAACAGATTACAAGCAATATTATTAATTAAATTTAACAAATTTGAACAATAATTAATCAAATTAATTCCTTAAAATTTAACCATTTAAAATGAGTAAAATTTACACCAAAAAAATAAACAAAAATATCTAAATAACAGACAGACGTCAAAGATGAATGAGGAACACTTTATTTGATATTGGCAATATTGAAGACACCTGATGTTAACAAGCAGAATCACTAAAGGAGAAAAACATAATTTTAAGTCACCATCATGGTGATCAATGTTTGTTTAAGATGGGCTCTTGACCCTTAAGTCATTCATTTTAAGTTTAGTTTGGCTGATATACCTGAGTCAAAACAAACAGTCAGATGAACAAATAGAAAAGGTGTTGGTTATGTTTTAACATACTTTTTTTTTCACAATCATTTGACTGGTTAACCTTTAAGGAATTAATGTGATTAATAATTACTCAATTCTAATTTGTTAAATTTAATTAATAATATTGCTTGTGGTGCCACAATTTTATTGCTTAGATATAGCATTTTCATTTTTACAGTGTATGATATATGTTTATAAAAACATGAAAGGCAATTATTTAGTATGGTAAAATATTTAATTTAGCAAAGAATGTTTTTAAATCGGCAATCTTGAAATCAATGCGTTTGAAAACGTTTGAAGAGTCAAATTTCCCCTACTTCACATGCCCCTTCCTTCTCTACATACACCTATTTTAAAAAGACTGTCGAGACTAAAGCAAACGTTCAACAAACGCAGATAAAGCAAACGTTTTTGAAATCCCTATATGGTAGAAGTTGTTCTCCATAGCTTTGTTTTTTGATGTCATCATCAAATATGCAATTAGAGGGAAACACAACTGTCACATTCTGTTTTGATTGAGGCAAACCAGCTTGACAGACATTTTGTCAACCATTTGGTCTGGAGATTTTTATTGAATTATTTATTTTCAAATGCTGGCATCACAGAGAGTGATTTCATCACAGCACACATTTAGGCACATCTGGTGTCTATTTTTTCCATTTTCAGCCGTACTCATCTAAGTGATTCTGACACTATTGATTGTTCTGGAATGTGTTGACATAACCTCCGACAATATGTTGCCTTCTTTTGCTTCCATAGCCTGAAGAGCCACTCTGATGCAAGGCCTTCATAAGGCTGTGTTGAGGTAGGTCATACATTTCATGTGTTTGTATTATTGTGTGATGGTTGTTTCAACTCTAGGACAGTAGACTCTGGCATGTAAGCAAACCCCTCAGCTGACAGGCAAAAGGCCAAAGAGAGTTGGCCTTGTGTTTCTTTTCTTTTCAAAGCTCCCCTCATCTCTCCTTTCATCAAGATGAGGAGCAACGCTCTGTTTTGTGTATTTTTTTTTTGCTGGTTTTACTCCAGAGAAAGACAGCTTTTGTAAAACAATAGCTACACTGTTCTTTGATAGCCACTCTAGCATTGTTTTAAAGCACAGCTCAGAGAGTGAGAGTTGTAGTTAGCGCTTTGTTTCTTTATCTGTCAAGGGCTTGAGCTGACAGTGACAAACATTATTAATGTGTCAGATCTCTTTAAAAAATCTAAAGACTGATTAAAGCTTGAGATCACATTGAACATCTATTTTAAACCTGGTGAAAACAAACAAACAAAAAAAGTTTTTAAAAACTTGACAAACAAACATGACAAAGTGATTATTAAATTAATACGATTCTGTGCTATTTCTAGATCGCTTGACTAATAAGAAAAATTGCAATATTGATAATTTTACCTCATGAATTCATTTATTTTACACAAACTTGTACTGTAATTTTTTTTAAAAATCGAAATATACAGTACATAAAATATTGGAAACATTAAAATGTTTAATGTTTTCGATTAGCACAACTGTTTACAACATTGATGATAACTGAGGATTAAATTAGCATATTAGAAATATTTCTGAAGGATCATTTGACATTGAAGACTGGAGTAATGGCTGATGAAAATCAAAAAAATTCAGCTTTACGCCATAGAAATAAATTATATTTTAAAGTATATTCAAATAGAAAACCATTATTTTAAATTGTAATAATATTTCAATAATACAAATTTTCTGTATTTTTGATTAAAACCCTTTAGCATAAGAGATTTTTAATAAAAATATTAAAAATAGTAATGTTTACAAATTTTTGACCATGCAGTATATTATGCAAAAATCCGGCTTTTGGAACCTCTCGTGAACATGATTCATCGGTGTTATGTCTTTTGTGAGGAATGGTCTTTTAATTGAACTTTTTTCCCTGTTTGCTCCTCTTTTTACCTTTTTTCTTGGCTTAGTTAGCGATTTCTGTATCACATGTACTCTGCACTATACAGGAATGGTTCTCTCACATCACAGGCTTGCAAATAGTAATCTTGAAAGCACTACAAGACATTTCCTCCCCACACGGGGCAGAATACTTCAAATAAGACCAAGCTTTCTCTCTTGGTTCCCCCTGGAGAACAAAAAGCCAACACTTAAGATCTTTTGCTGCCTCTCCGGTTGAGA